TGTCCTACACTTTTAACTGCAGTACACCTTGGTCCTACACTTATAACTGTAGGACACCATGGTTCTGCACTTATAAGTGTGATACTGTACGACACTTGAGTTTCCAGAGTTGTACTTCAAAATTGATTTACGGAAGAAGTGGTTGAAAAAATTACAAATTAATCCAGAAACCATTAGCTATAACATTCTAGTCATTAATCTTGCGTGTATGTATATCAAATATTTAAATCCGGGCCCGCAGCGAACAGCTGTTGTCCATTATGTAAATATATTTTCGTATTTTCATTCCAGCATCAGTGTGAGACGTCCACATGAGTAATTAGATAAACCCGTCCAGATTTGATCCCGGGTGCGAACGACTCATCTCCTCATACCCAGGCTAAGTGTAGCACCTGAATGCCCTGAATGGTTCATATTTTTAGTTACGTCTATAAACTGTGAAATAATTCTCATTATTACATTTTAAAAACTAATGCGTCACCTTAATGGTATTGACGGCCAATAACTTCATTACTGACGCAAAATTAGATTACATTACAATGGTTGGCGGCCGTCTGGTGAGCACAAACCACTCACCACCTTACCACGTGATGAGTCGTTCGCTAATACCCATCAGTACCTGCTTGCCTTCTAAATTGCGTCCAATTACACTTAAAATGAGCACATTTTCGACAAAAGTAACACTTTGAAAACCATGTTTTGTTTCTCGTTATCTGTCAATGCACCTTGTACAGAGAAGCGTTTCCTAGTACTGTCCTTCATACGGCCTTTCAATAATGCCTTCTACAGATATGAAAATGATGTGACAATGATAACTAAGGTGCTCTATAGCTCCGACTTGAATGATGAAGTCGGGCAGCCAAGTGAAGGAATTCGCTATCTATTATTATGGGCGAATTCTGCCGCAAACTATAATTGCACAAATAATTGGCCTCGAGTTTGTTTCGTTTTTTCCACCTCTGCAGAAGCGTTAGAATATATTTCATCTTTTTCTTATAAATTTTTGTACAGTGTATATTGTGACACAAGTTGCAGACCTCGTGCTTTTCTTGTATGTAGTTGGTGCAATGCCTGCTCGGAGTAGATACGCGCCCAAAAGTGATGTCGGTTTCCTGGGTTATTTCTGCGTCACTCCGGCGCAAGGCATTGTATTTATTTTAATGTTTTCCATGTAGTTGTCAGTAATAATTTAAAAAACAAAAACAGGATGAAACAATATGTCTCCAAAATCAAGGAATAAAAATACCTTAATTCTCACCACAAGTTGTTTTCTTTCTCCGCTACACATACACATCCGAGGAGCGAGGCGGAAGGAAAAAGTCCACGGGGAAGTCCCACACACATTCACCAAGAGCACCTCATCTTGGACGGTGGAAAATTACCGTGAGCATTCTGACGCGGTCCTCATAGTTTTAATATAATGTAGATCCGTCACGCTGCGTCCGTTTTCACACGGAAAAAAAGAATTAGCTAAATTAGCTAATGCATTCGCTAATATGGCCTTAGATTAGAATATTAGCTCTCCTAGCTAATTCTTAGCTAGGAGAGCTAATAAATTAGCCATGACAGTTGTCTACAAAATAAAGCAACTCGCTGTGAAAGCTAATATTTTAGCTTTTTTAGCTGGGAATTAGCAAGGGAAGCTAATATTCTAATCTAAGGCCATATTAGCGAATGCATTAGCTAATTTAGCTAATTCTTTTTTTTTCCGTGCACGTGGTTCACTTTTGTCCCGGGTCTCACAGAGTTTTTGACGGAGTAGGGCACCCCTGGGCTCCTCCGTCTCATTTGTGTCCCTAACACGAGGAGTAAGCTTTCGGGCCGCTGCAAAGTTATTCTGAGCAAATTGCCCCGGGGGCAGCACGGCCGGTACGTGGGGGAGGGGGAGGGGGTGGGAGGAATGAGCGATGGCGCCTGACGCCTGGTACTCCTCTCTGGCCCCTCCCGCCTTCCTTGTCGTAATAATCACAATCTGGAATGGGGTGCCGTGGGGGCTTTGTATGCAAAACAGGAGGGGCAATCATTTCCCCCTTTTATTGCGCCAAGTTTTGCTAAATGAAACTTCATAGCGTCCGGGGGCCTCGTAATCATTTGTCATGCACTTGCCATTTCTTTGCCCCCCCCCCCCCCCCCCACTTTCCTCATTGTAGAAGCGATACTGTCTCGACACCTATCTCGTTTCTCACTGGGGCGGCTACTGCCTGCATCCCCGGCTAGGGTTGAGGAGGAAGAGGGTTGCGTTTCGAAAACTTCCCTGTCTGCAGGCAGTTGTAGCTGCAAACGACAGAGAGCATGGAGGAAGCTGCAGTGAGGTCCCAAATGAAAATAATTATGGATTTCATTCGAGATGGTAAGAACGCACGCGCGCCGGAATGTAGGCGACTTAAGTACATCGACACAGC